GGTGTGTGTATTGGAGCAACTTGATTCGAGGAATTGTGTCCTAGTCACATTGGAGAGAACAGTGAAATTGGCCCACAGGAACTTTTAAATGAACAAAGAATAGTCACGATTATATTCACAGCATATAAAAATCTTGAAGCTAAGAAAACCTTCTCCCAGCTTTCATAAACTGTGGGTGCATAGGCTAAAACTGCTGAAAACGCGCGCCGCTCGACCTTTATCCGTCAATCAAATATCGGACGTTCATTCGGTCAGTATTAGCTTCGGCGGCTTTCAGGGTGATGCACAGGCAAGCAGTTCACATTCCTTTGAAGTCTATCCGGGTGTGGCACACGAAACGAAGCGGCGGTGAACTGGTTTGGATAAATCATTTGTATTTGCTGATTTGCTTTTTATGACTGTACAGTCAGTTGTATTTTTATGAACATGTCGATTGTTTAAATAAAATGTTGCTACTTTGTAAAAAATGTCTCTCTCCAAATACATCAGTGCATGCGACGCTCAACTATTTTCAAAACATCATTGGCCTAGTGATGAACAGTCGGAAAAGAACGTGACAACGCCACGAAGCGATCGGTATTCAAGTTAAGAGAGTGTAGCGAGTGGCAACGTAAGATGGCCGCCGATGCCTTCGCTTCTCTCGAGGGCGAGGAAACGGCATTCGTATATTAAGTCGGTGGTGACGTCTGCCTCTTGAGGGATACTTGGCCACATCAATGTGGCGTCCGACACGTTGATGGGGCGGCCATGTTGGATCAGGCTCCGGCAGGCTTCGACAGCGTAGCTGGTTTTGTCTTCAGACTCAACTCAGTGAAGTCACGTCAACATATATATCGAACATGGAGCCCAGGCCGCAAAGATAAGATCACTTCCGGTTGATTTATGGAGTTTGTCAACAAAACGACAGACATAAAAATACAGTAGAAGTGCACTCGACCGTGACCATGCGCTTAGGCCAGCTTAAAAAAAATGTACTGGCTGGGTGCTGTCAACCATGATGGGATGATGGACTGCATCAAGCATCAGAGTGATACACTGTATCAGTGAATGGTGCTGATTTTTCTGAAATGAGCTCCATCCACAGCTGGAGTACCTTTGCCTTTTCCTTAAAAATATACAGTGAGTGCCTCTCTTCATTTGAATGCCATGTCATAATTGAGCTAAAACACGGCATCGCACAAGAATAGAGGAGGTGCAGTGGTAGGACTTTTGCATCCACAGCCTTCTCCCCTACTTTTCAAGAGACAATCATTAGCCGTATCAAAATAGAATTTTGAATGGAAAATAGTCACTTGAAGCATTGTGGGCCGTGAGCTGAACGATAATAATTTAAAAATAACCTCATTTGGTGTCCATATGGACCTGCGGCTTTCAAGTGGTTTGGATGTGTTCTATCTTGGCTCCGAGTTGAAACTTATAAAAGTACAATCAATTGGCAATCTAATCATGAGCTGCCTCCGCTTTGCAAAGTAAATATTCAAATAGGTTTGATCGGGGATTTGGCTGATTTGCCGGGCGACACTTCACAGCCTTTTGTTGTCACTATAATGGAATTTGTCGTCTGATTGATGTGCTGTTTAGTTCTCTTCTAAGTAAGGAAATTCTGGCTGATTGAGATGTTTTATGAGATCATTACGTGTGCCAAGGAGGGGATGTTTTCACCCACCTCCACTAAAAAAAAAAAAAAAGGGTGAGTTGGATTTACTCCATTTTATTTTGTCACGTGGTTGCACAAAATAAAATCCTCTGGATCGGGATACATGACTTGAAAAATTTGTTTCTGCAACAAAATAGCACAAATACATCAAGATTGAAGACATCGAGTTTGACCAGAAATCATTTCGCAGCATGCTTGAAGATGTTGTGAACGTTTGAGGTTCCTTCAAGAAATATTCAGTTTTGCCCATTCAGAAAACACCTCTTCAGTTTTGACTATGGCACGTTAAATTTTCAAATATATATCAAAGCAAATAAAGCATGCAAAATTATGCAGTAGAGACTGTTTTTTTTTTTCAGTGAAGCGCTAAACATTGAAAAAGGTGTCATTTTTTGAGTTGAATTGAGATTTTCAGAAGCTATATTTTGCCGCCCCACCGCTCTCCAGACAATTAGAAAAGGTCAGAGGTTTTTGAACAAAATGTCTGGACAGAAATTGTCAAGCGAGATTCCAACCCTGAGTCTGACCCTCAAGGTTAAAGATTCTTCTCTCAGACATAAAATGTAATACTTTTGGAAATGGCATTTCTATTCCGACGTAATGAACGGTGCTTTTGTGGCTGCAACTGTCAATTCATGTGTCCCCGAGGAAGTGTTCATTTTTAATCCAAAACAACACTCATGATGCACACCGTAAATACAAAATTAATTTATCAGACCGAGCGTAATATAATGTCATTAAAGTTAAAGTCATTACGATTCTGTCATAAAGAGACTTTTGAAAATGTACAACCGAAAATAAACACAGCTGAATGATTTCATTTGTTTGATTTCCCATCTGCTTTATGCAAGCAAAATATGTCAATTAGGACATTAGCACCAGATACGACGAAGGTTCATTGATTATTATTATTATTTCATTTTTTTTGAAAAGATGTTTTGTGTATTTTTGCGCCGTGCTCAAAAGCGAAACAGAATGTTACCAGTGTGAGACAAACAAAAGGCTCATTATATTTTCCTTGTAATATTTTCATCAGGCCGCCAATCGAACGTTGGCACGTGTGTGTCTGTTTACTGTTCTGAAACCAAATGCGCTATAAGAGTGAGGATGCGAGCACACCTTCGCGTTCCGGTTCAAAGCCTTTTTGTTCGTTAGCTTTTACTCTGTGCTCTCTCCGTGTACTTCTAAGCTTGAAGAAAGCACAGAAGAAGATTTTAAAGGCAGCAAAACAAATTGGAAAAACATATATTGGCATTATGTAAATCCAATAGGTAGTCAAAGTTTGCTGGAGCTCTGTAACAACTGTAAATAATGTGAAGCAGGTTCAGGCACATCAGACAACATTGTGGAGAAAACACCACAGAAGTCGATCGACGATGCCACTTTTATGAGATTCCCTTTGCAGGAACGTGTCATTTTCCGCCTGATTTCGGCTCGAGTTCCTTTTGATTTAGGGAAACTGCGACACCCACACTCCAGCTGCAAGATTGGAGCAGAATGTCATCTCCTGTTGAATACTGTGTGCGAATATTCAAACTACAAATGAGTTTGGCGCCGTTAAGATTGATGATGGGTTTTGTCACGCCGTGTCCTCTACTTAATGACGCTGACAAGCTTGAAGTGCGTTGGTGAAAGGGCCTGTTGAAAGCGTGACACTGTGACAAGGCTTTGAACTTGTTGTTTGCCTACCGACAACTCCTCTTTGTGCTGATTTAAAGGCGCAGGCTCCATTAATGGAGGCAATATGATGAAGACAATGAACGTCCCCCCCGGTCGGTGAAGATGCCAAATATGCGCGAAGGTCAATTAGTCCAAAAGAAAGGGGATTTTATGCGCGCGCTCTTCGAGTTTGATATGGGTGACGGTAAGGTTATAAGACAGCAAATAAAACAAGTCATTTGCAAAGGTGATTGCTTGCTTGGTAAACACTTTTGCTGGCCTCAGCATATGGAGATCAGTTGTCTGATTGCTTATTGATCATGAATGAGTAGTCGAGTGAGCAGAGATCAGCTCGGGGTTACAAAAGGTCAGCCGAACAGCCTGTCGCAGGGTTGTCGAGATATATTCAGTAACGGGCGCAGTATCGAGTGAGGGAATGCAAAATGTTGAGGTTCTTCAAATCACAGTGGTGAAGCACAACAATACGTACATGGTGGTGAGAGGTAGTTGAACATTTTGCTTTGCATCTAGGCCAGCAGGGGCATATTGGGAGCAAAATTCAGCCCAGGAATATTCGTCGCCGATGGGGCAGGGCGGGCTGTGGAGGTTCACGGACCTTGAAATGGACTGGCCATTCGAGAATCTCCCAAAATTCCCAAACGGCCGTCATGTAGCTAAAGTACGCAAGAAGCGCGTACTTCATGCATTTTCTTTCCCTTCTCGCGTTTGTACTTTAGGCATCCCGAGCCAGAAGCATGCATCTTTCCATTCAATTGCACTCATCAACAGCACATTTGACATTGGGTTTTAAAAAATTATATACACTTTTTTTCCCGGCACATCAGGTTGGAGATGTATTTTCATTTTTTGTTTTGTTTGGCCTATAAAAAAACTCAACCCTTATTCCTACAAATGATTGTAAGATAATTTTGTTTGTTGTAATGTGTGTATAGATATCATTTTTATTGTTATTATTGTTATTCTTATTATTATGATGATGATGATGATTATTATTATTAGTGCAAGTTTACTTCTATTTCTGATTTTAAAAATTGTTAAGATGTGTTGACCAGTGTTATGATTTAGAAAAGGACAACGAATCTACATGTACATGTCTTGGGTCGTGGGTGTCACGGTGGGGTGCAGGCAAATAAAGCAGGTAGATCCACTTGCGGGGATCTCAAAAGAATTCTCTGGCCATACATACGCTTTATTTGTCGTGCCAAATACCGGGCGGAAGACAAATCCAGGTGCCAGCTCTTAATTTTTTAATCATGGAAGCCAAGTTGGCTGATAATCATCTGAAGAGACAAATTGCACGCTGGCCCAAACTTGACAGCTATGGGCTGTATATGTTTTTAGGTTCAATAAACAAACAAACAAACAAACTGGTGGAAGAGTCACGTGAAGGTGAAGGTCCACGGGGAACTTGAAAACGTTCTAGAAACCTGGTTTCAGTCAGGTGATTTATGCAGTGTTTTTTAGCATAATAATGAAAATAATAATAACAATCCTTAGGCAGGTGTGCCCGACCTTTTTTGACCGAAGATTAACTTTTCAAGCAGCCAACCTCCCGGTTACTGCACGTACACGCACGCACACACACACAGTGCACGTCATAGCCATAATAAACTGAAAAATAAAGTGACACACAAGAGTTACTGAAAAGGAAATCACGGCTTACCTTTGTAGGAGACCTTGACACACGGAGGCAGTGACGCACTCTTGTAACGTGGAGAAACGTCACGATCGAAGCTTGCGTGGACCGTTTTAAAATGCGTCTCCTGGCGCCCCACGTTTCTATCCGTTGACAATGCCGTCGGTGAATTGCAGATCAAACAAGGTTTGAATGAGAATAAACAAACAAACAAACAAGAAACATCAATTGTAGGCTGTTGTCCGCTAACAACTTCCTGTGATACAGGTCACGTGCCACCGTACGTTCAAGGTGATCGACTTTTTTATTTTATTTTATTTTTTTACTCTCCTTTTGTGGAATTTAAACTGATAGAAGGCTTAGGCTGTAGTGTGCAATAACACACACATATATAATATTCATAACATGCACGCAGACACTTTTTTTTTTCATTTCCGCCTATACCTCTTCCGGTCAACGTGGCACCAGTCAACTGACTTTCGGTCGACCGCGATCGACTCGTTGGGCACGTTTTTTTTTTTTTTGTATCTTTCAAAAATCTTCCTGCATTCTGTCAAACACGACTTTCAAAGGAAACGTGCGTTGAAAATAAATATGTAAACGTGAAAATTAGCTGTCACGATTTGATGAATAAGAATAAATCTTTGCAGATTAGTGGCACCCACTTGAACACAGTGTTGTTTTTCATGAGAATTCTCGAAACTCTTGCCAGTCCTGTGTTCTAATCTATAGGTTCTTAGACGAAAACGGGATGTGCAGAGGATTGTAAACCATATTTCAAAGGAGCAGGCCAAGATAAAAACTCCTTAACATTCCTTCGCTCGCCTCCGTTCCCCAGCTGTGTGTATCAATCATTCTCTAATATTCCCAGCATGTCTTCAGGGTCTTTCTGTTAAGGCCCTAGAGCCCAGCTTATGGCAGGCATCCCTCAGATCTCGCTCTCTTTCATGTGAATGCACACTCACATTCAACATTTCTGAACAGCACTGAGATTTAAGGTTGTCTTTCAGCATAATGTTTGCCTTTCTTTTGTGTGGGGTGAAAGCACCCCACCGATTTGAGAAACACACGCCACAAATGAGCTCTGTCCACTTGAGTTTCAGGAAATGCATGCGATTAACGGCTGACCGGGTCGTCGTAATATCGTCTGCCTTATGCTGGAGGTCAGCTGGGATGGGGTGGATAAATGCACTTGGATCAAAATGAACAAAAAACAAAAAATGAACACAATTTTCTGGCAATGCGAAGAAATTTCTCTTCTCTGAGAACGCCAGCCTGTTTTGGCAGCTCCAGATCACTTGAGCTTTTCTTTTCTCTCGTCTTGTTTAACCTAGTTTGTTTGTGTTTTTGGACCTGGGGGTATTTCTTTTGCATTTTCTTTTTGCTAATCAGTTCACTGTGCATGTTTTTTTCTGTTTTACTGATAAAAAACATGTATCACGTCCAACCAGTAAATATAAACATTTCATAAACTGTAACATCTAAAACAAGAGTTCTGAAAAAAATGGGCACATATACAGTTCGGGAGATTTTTCGGGAGGCTTTTCTTCTACACGCATTATGCATACATTTGTTCAAAGATCAATTACTCAAGAGTCTTTTTTGGACTAAAACATCAAGTAATGTATTCTGAGAACTGTTTCAGCTGCATGGCCACCAGAGGAGGTGCAAGTAGACAAATGGAGAGGGAAAACACAGCATGGGGTCATGGCGAGTTAGCAATGTACCTCTCACCGGGTAAATAAATAAGCCGTGATTCGGTCTGCAGTGGCGAATATTCATCGCAATAATAGCCACCTTGGGGTTGCTTCAATGTTCCAAAGGAACATCCAGGTCAGTCTCTCACACTTCAGAAAATTCTCCGCTTTTCCTTGCCGCGTAGCCATTGGAAAAGTCTCCGGGAGAAAAGCCGTTTTGAAGAAATGAGACCATCATTGAAATCATTCATAGCGCTTGTCATCTTCCTTCTCTTGAACTTGTCCGTTTTTGTCACAGGAAAATGCAGCAAAGCGGTGGTCAAATTTTCGGCAGTTAATCCCCTGATAATCATTGATCCTATCATCCCGCTTTCTACGGTATCTCGCAGAGCAACAATGAAGCCCCCTCAAGAGAGAATCGGCAGTAATATCTTTTACCACATCTTCATATTGCTTTTGTCACACTCCCGGCTATCACTTGAAGCTTGAAAGCATGTTTTTGTATGCAATGTTTCCAATGCCCTTGCATGCTCCATTTGATAAAAGTCTATAGAGGACGCAGGAGTTGGATGATCGTAGATATATAAGATTGTATGCAACTGAAGCGCAGCAGTTTGAGTGTGCTGTGCTTAAGTATCGTTTCTCAGTAGAATTCACTTGACAATACAAAGCAACCATTTTGTATTTTGTATTTATCTGAGCTGTGACGACTAAATAACACTTAGGTATAGATGCTTGTGGAGGCTCTCAGTCGTACAGGAAAGTTCCATCGTAGAAAGGGTTCTGTCAGTCGTCATCTGTACCTGTGGGTAAAAAACAAAAAACAAAAAAGGACGTTTCGCTTCTCTCACAGAAGCTTCGTCAGCGGTAGACAACCCTGAAGTCTCCGTGAAGACTCCGGGAAGTTGCTCTGCGCTAACTTTTCAGTTACACCTAACAACATACCAAAAACAGACTACATCACAGCGGTAGAAACAGCGATCAAAAATAACAAGTTATCAAAAGCAGAAGCAGATGATATTCGCCTGAGTGTAGCCTCCTCGCTAAAAACAGCAAAACCGCCACCCTCAAACAT